TTTTTTTTATGAGGTATGAAAAAGAAAAGAAAAAACTTAAAGGGAAAGAACTAGAATAACAAATATTACAATAAATGTCAAGTAGTAATGATTTAAGTAGTGTTCTTGATAAAAACCAATCAACAATATTTAACGAGATAAAAGGATTAAAATTCTCACCATTGACATATGAAAGATATAATGAACTTTTAGAAAAATACACTATTTCTAATTATCCATCAAGTCATTTATTAATATTAAAGGAACAAACACGAACACTGAATGATAAGAATTTATCAAAAGTAATTTCATCATTAAAAAATTATCATGAAAATATATCTCCTTCAATGAAAAAATCACTTGAACCTGTTTTTGTTGAAACACTTCAAAGTGTTGAACGATTTTGTCAAAGACAATGTTCATTATTAGATAAACTAACAGATTTAGTACATCTTTTGTTAAGTGAAGTACCAGATGGAGTATTATCTCCATATCATGCATTATTAGCACATATTCTCTTTGCAAAAAAAGAATATGAACATGGTAAAATATTATATTTTACAAAATATCATAAAGTTCAACAACCAATGAATTCTTTCACTCTTCAATTGTTTTTGTACTATTCAGGATGTATTGCTTTGTATAATCGTGATCTTCAAGAAGCTTATTTCCTTTTTGATCAATGTATTACAACACCATCAAAAGAGATAACTCCACAATGTGTTGCAGCATGGAAAAAAGAGGCATTACTTTGTCTTATAATAAATTACAGTTTATATCCTGTTTCAAAACAATTCAATTACTTTATTGATTTATACAAACCATTATTGGTTTATAAACAAATCCAAGAAAATTTCATCAATGGACCAGAAAAGGTGAAATTCATTATTGAAGCATTTTCATCAGTACTTAAACAAGATGGGAATTTAGGATTAGCTCAACAAGTTGTTGTTTCATATATTTATTCAGGAATTAATAAAGTTTCTAAAGCATTTAACTCAATTAGTGTTGAGGCATTAGCAAGAAGAATTCATTATGATAAAAATCTATTAAGCGTAGGACTGAACAAATTAATAAAAAAAAGGTTAATTAATGCATCTTTTGATGGTGATATTATCGTATTTGAAGAAGTAAAAGTTAAAGACAAAGGACTTGTTGAATTACTTTTCCAATTAAAGGAATGTGAACAAATTTATGAAGAAATGAAACACCATTTAACAATAAGAGAAGAAGAACAAATGAATAAGAAAGAATCAATTAATTAATGGTAATTTCATAAATTTTTAAAGCAGAAATTTCATTTTCATTTCATTAAAACGAAAAAAAAAAAGATTTTTGAGAAATTTCATAAATCACAAAAAAAATAATAAAAGAAAAAGTCAGTTAAAAAGAAAAAAGAAAAAGAGAAAAGTTGAGAAGAAAAGAACTTAGAAAATAACAAACAAAAACATAAAAAATGATTAAAGCATTTATTATCATTAATAATATGGGAAAAATTCGATTAGTTCGTTTTTATAATCATATGAAAGAAGAAGAACAACAAAAAGTTGTTAGAGATTTATATGCACTCTTATGTAAAAGAACGGGAAAGTCATGTAATATTATTTCTGTACCACAATCTATTTGGGGAGAAAAAGGAATTACTGCAGTTAGTAGAACATACGCTACTCTTAGTTTTATTTGTGTATTTGATGATAATGAAAATGAATTATTTATTCATTCATTAATTCAAAATATTGTTGAAGTTCTTGATAAATGTTTTGAGAATGTTTGTGAATTAGATTTAGTTTTCCATTCTGATAGAGTACATTATGTATTAAATGAATTTATTCAAGCTGGATTAATATTAAATAATGACATTGACTCTATTATCCGAGTATTAACAGAACAAGCACAATTAGAAAAGACAGACACACCTGCAATTAAACAAACTGCAATTAACGTTTAATTTACATTTTGTTATAAATTAAAATAAACTACTTTTTGTTTAATTTTTTCTTCTATTTGAAACAATAAAAACAAAATAAAAGAAAACAGTCGAATTATGAAATTGGCATCTTTTATTCTATTGATTTTCGTTTCAAACGAGCAAGAAGAACATCCACTTGTTTAGGGGTTAACCAATTATCTCTACAAAATTGATGATATTCACTTGGATTATCAATAAATTTTTGAGCACAACCATCATTAAGTATTTGTTCACATAAATCTACAACTTGTTGTGCATCTTTTTTATCCATCTTTCTAATTATAAAAATGTCAAATAACTGCCAACTAACTTCTGAAACAAATAATGATGCAACTCCTACTATAGCACACCCAAACATTGGAATTCTATAATCATTTAATGAATCTGAAATTGGTCCAACTATAAGAGGTAAAGAAAAAGCTACCATATTGTATGTTAAAGATTCTTGAAGACCAACATATATAGATGAAATATTTGATGTTAACATTGAAAGACGAGAAGTTGTAATTAAGACATTTTGGAAAGAATATGCACCACATAATCCTAAGAAAACTGCACTTAATAATTGAGCAATCCAATGAGAAACTACTCCACAAATAAAATGATTAATAATTGATACTGTCATAAAGAAATACATTAATCCTCTATTAAAATACATAAATTTAAATTGTGCTACAGTAAGAATTCCTACTGTATACATAAAATAAATTGTACAAAAGAAAACTCCAATAAAAATATCATATCTGTCATCATCACCTTCCATAGTAGGGAAATATCCATCTTTGGTATCAAAAATTCTATTAAAATATTGTGAACCATATGTTAATAAATTTCCATAACAAGTAATACAACATACAAATGATGGAATAAGAAATTGCATAGTTCTCTTTTTAAGTCTTGCACGTTCATTCTTTCCCATTTGCCAAATAATTGGTTCATTCTTTTTCTTTTCTTCTTCTGTTTTTAATTCTTCTTCTGTCATTTCTTCTGGATTTTTAACTTTAGTATATGATAAGTCTTTCCCACAAACTACACTTCCTTCCCAACATGGATAAATAATAAATACAATAACTAATGCAGCTACTGATATAGATAATGCTTGTGATGCACCTAATTTTGTGAATAAAAATGCTCCACACAAATATCCAAGTGATTGTCCAAATGTCCACATTCCACTAAACACACCTAACCAAAATTCTGCATCTCCTGCTGTACTTTCTCTTGAAATTGAAGTTTGAATTGGAATCCAAAATAAAACATATGAAAATGCATACATAACACCCATAATCCATAATATCCATAAATTATCATTAATAAACATTAATAAAATACACGCTGCAATATAAATTAATACACCAATTCTTGCAAGTAACCATCCTGGAAGAAAATTATTAATAAACCCACATACCCATGATAGAAGAAAACAACATCCAAAATTAATTGCATTAATAATTGCTAAATCCCAATTACTTGCATCTTGTTTTGTTGCAACTAAAGGAACGACAAGCCAAAATAAAAATGCTGCATAATTATATAATAATGAACACGCACAATATCTCCAGAAATTACTCAATACATATTTAAACAGAATAAATACCATTAATGTATCTTTTTCTATTTATATTTCTTAAAGATCAAAGGCATGTCATATTTATTAATTATAAACCCTTTATTTTTATTCTTTTTTTAAGTCATTTTATTATTTATGTTATTTATCTTAAATTTAATTTTTTTTTTGTTTAAGAAAAAAAAAAATATAAAAATAATACTTTTTCATGAACAGTGAAGATTCAACATTAAAACAAAGAAAGGAATATTATGATAAATCATTTCCTGTTGAAACATTTTATAAATGGATAACAAGAAATAAAAGATATTCTGATACAAGAGAATTATCATTTACTATGTTTGATGAAAGTTATATTCGATATCAACACTTTAAAAGTAGTGAAGAGTTAAAGAGAAAATTAAAAGAGAAAGTACCAATTAAATTTGATATTGGAGCAGTATTTGATAAATTATTAATTGGAGTAACTAATACACCTTTATTAAGAGAATTTGTTATTGATATTGATATGGATGAATATAATGATGTAAGATATTGTTGTCAAGGAACAAATATTTGTGAAAAATGTTGGACATTATTAGTTGCTGCTGTTCAAGTATTAAATTATATTCTTCATGAACAATTTGGATTTAAACATATTTTAAATGTATTTAGTGGAAGAAGAGGAATTCATATTTGGGTATGTGATGATAGTGCAATGGAAATGACAGACACATTAAGAATGAATGTTGTTCAATATTTAAATCTTTTTGAAGCAAAGAATACAAATTCATTAAATGAATCATATGTAGTAATTCCTGGACGTCATGCATTATTTGATGATTCATATCAAATTTTAGAACCTTTATTCAAAAAATATCTTCATGATGAACAAATTCTTGAAAGTTCTGAAAGACGTTCTCGTTTTATTAGACTTATTCCAACTTCAAAACAATCTCAATGTGAAGAAAAAGAAGATTTATCATGGGATTATGTAAAAAGAATTCTTGTTTGTTATTTCTCTTCTTTATTTCTTTGTTTTTTTGTAATACTTATTTACATAAATTAGAGTGATGATCCTAAGGCATTACAAAGAATTGTTTTTACTTATCTTTATCCTAGACTTGACATTAATGTTTCTATGAAAAGAAATCACTTACTTAAAGCTCCTTTTTGTATTCATCCTGCTACTGGAAATATTTGTGTTCCAATACCATTTAATAAAATAATAGACTTTGATGTTACAAGAGTTCCTACATTAATTTCTGTTCAAGAGGAACAAGAAAATAAAATAGAAATAATACAAAATAATAAAATGGAAGAAGAAGATTCTTGTAATGATAGTTATAATGATATGGACGAAAAACAAAAATATTCATACAAAGAATTTGTACAATTCTTTGATTCATTTGTGAATGATCTAATACAATAAATTTTTTTTTTGATTGTTTGAGTTATTTTTCTTTATTAATATTATTGTTCATGAATAAAGCATTTCTTATTTTTTATTAGTTATTATATTTTACCAATGAAATAACACAATAAAATGTTCTCTGTTATGAAAAGATAAACAAAATGAAGTGAAATTCATAGGCATTTTTGGCTGTATAGAATATGATTTCAAAAAAAGTATTGTTTCCTTTACAATTGATACTTAATAAAGTGATTGTTGAATTAAATAAAAGAGGAAATGATATAATTAAATACAATGTATATAGTTTAAAAATCGATTAATGGTGAATATAAATTTGTTGGGGAAACAACAATTGGTTGGTCAAGAACTTCACAATAATGTTGAACAAGTGCTTCATATCGATTTCTAAACCACATCTCATTTGTCCAAATAGAGATAGGTTTAAGGTCTTTTGTTTTTATTAACGTTCCTCCAAAAGATCTAAAACTTCTGTTTGGATAATCAGGAATAAATCCAGCTAATTGTGTAAACACTTTGTTTTTTATTCGTTCTTTTTTAGTCATGTAGACTTGATATGCACATGCATCAGGAATTTTAGCTTCTGATGCTGTAAGAAAATTGTATAATTTATTTGCAAATTCATCATCTAACTTAACTCCAATTGGTGGAATGAAAATTAAATCAGCCTTACTGTAATCACCTGACTTTTTACCCATATCATGATAGATTTCAGACACACAAATATCCTCTTTGTATTGGTCAAATGGATATTCATTTTCTGTTTCATGGCGGTA